GACCAATAACCTACCAAACGTGATCCGGTTCCAGCGAAGTTGAGAATGTCAAATGCAGGGTTAACCAGATCCTTTTCTCCATCAAACCGAACCTCTCCAGTTAGCCCGGTGAAGTTAACCACACTAGTAAGAATCTCAAGTATCTTTTGACCCTGGTCAAAAACACGAAGAGATGCCAATTTGGGGTTATCAGAAAATGTAACATTTCCGCCTTCACTAAAAAAATGCTCAAGAGCATGTGCAATTAACCACACTGTGTCATAAGCATAGAGTGCATATGAATTAAAGCTTGAGGTTTCTTTCTCTTTAAAGCTTCTCCACCTGGAAGCAAAACTCTTCTTTTGGTCTGTGTTTGGGGTATGATGACGAAGTGCAATAACCCCTTGTAAGACGTCCATGGTTTTCGGATCAACTAATTCTGAAGAATCCATAACAGAAGGAAGCCAATCCGTAGCAATCCAAACATAGCCATTTGACATCATACTTAAACTTTTTGCCATTGATAAAAGTGATAGGCCAGAATCAGGATTTACATGAACGATATACACTCGAGACTCCATAAGGTTCACGTTTATTAACAAATCATATATCTCATTTCTTGAGGATCCAGGAGAAAAGGGTGCTTTGTATGATATCTTGGCACGTTTCCTAGAGAGAGCATCTCCAAGTACTGAAATCCCATTTCTACCATTTTCATCATCAACAAAGATAGTAATCACCTCCTTCCATCCAAAATACTCAACTAGATCAGCAACAGCATGCATCTGGTAGTAATCATTAGTGACCGTACGTAGGAAAAATGGGTACTGCAGGGAAGAAAGGGTGGGGTCAGTTGCCCCAAATGACAAAAGCGGGATTTTAAGCTCATTCACAACATGTGAAATTATGTGCGCTATCCCTGAGGATTGTGGCCCAATTGCAGCAATCACGTCTCTTTCCATCAATTTTAGAGCTACAAAGCAACTATGCATGTCAAATATAATACTCCATAGGTGATAATATTAAGAGTTGTAGTTTCAACTTAAAAGATCGACAGGAATAGACCTGTGTTGTATGTTGGTTTCTAATTCTGTATTTATTAATCGGGAATCAATTAGGTGACACAATCAAGGCCCAAGGGAAAAGATAAAACAGCAAGGTTCAACATAGTTGCCGACCTTAAACCTGAGTGGGATGGCTTTACTCGTTGTTGAGAAATACTGGGGTCGTGTAGTTCGTTTGAGATTGGTTTTAACAACAAACTAAGACTAGGATTCCATCCTTAGATTGATACTACAAGATAAGTAGTCTAAGAGCTCATATGTGAGTTCGTATCTTTAAAATGTGGCTTTCAAGAAACAAAAAAAAAAACAATTAATGTGATTTACCCTCAATAGTTCCAATGAAACCGCTACAATTTGTGTCTTGTAATATGAGGTTCAGCTTTGTGTCCCTAAGAATGTTTGGATCAGAATTGACATCAACAACAGCAGCTATAATGGCTGGCTTAGCAGAGCGCCCGATAACAGAGTTCATTGTGAACAAAGCTCCAATATTTACAGTACTCCGTCGAGCAGTTTCATTTCCACTCCCTTCAAGAATGGTAAGTGGGACACATAAGCAACAAATCAGCAAAAGAACCCCTCTCTTCAGAAGTGTTTGACCTTCCATTTCTACCGCTGATGAGTCAATACACATCACAGTGTCTCAAGAAATCAAGCCCTGGCGCCCTGCTAACACATAAAGATCCAATATTTGAAAACATATTGATCACCCGAACATTAATAACCACAGGTTGAGAAACAAACCGAGTACATCCCACTTTGAAGTAGGGTTTGGCAGAAGTGGAGAAAGCATATTATACAATTGATTTCAGCAAAAGCAGTCACAATAGCAGTGGTCTCCATTAATGGACTGCGTGGACACAAAGGGGCAGTACTTTAAAACTTCCCAGTACATGGGATTTCCTACAGTGCTTGGAAAAGGCAAATATTCTGCCAACTCACACTGGACAATGAGATAAGGACAATCTGTCCTAAGATGTTATTCACAGCGGAAAAAAAATGGATGAAATTCCAGCAAAATCTGTCGCTTCAGGTTTGAATGGGAAAAGGGGAGAAGATGACTTGTACCGTAAATGCATATAAAATGGAAAGCTCAGTAGAGAATAAATGGTGAGCAGACACTCGCTTCTTGCTTCTCAGCTTCTACCTCTCACCTGCACCGACATAAAATTTGTCCTATGTAGTCATTTGTTGGTAAACCGGCAACCGCACATCCAAATCATTTCTACTTTATATTTCAAAGTTTAACTTCTTTTCATTTTTTGCTAATACGGAGTAATAAAAATAAAAAGCTGAAGTTTGGAATACTACAACAGTACACCCTACAAATACTTTAGAAATGCAGTTCACTAACAACGTAGAAGTTAGTTCGGAAACTTTATTCTTTTCTACTCTAATTGGATCTTGTTAAAAAATACTCCGTATTTGGTATGAAATATGTTCCCGACCGATAATTAAGAGCCCGTTTGGTAGCACGAAAATCGGTTGTTTTGGCTGTTTCTGCTGAAATTTATGAAGTTCTGGCTGAAGTGGCTGTTTTGGCTGATTCTGCTGATTCTAGAAAAAAATATTTTAAAATTATATTTTATTAATAAAATAAAGAAAAAATTACATGTAAAAATAGCTAAAATGGTCATCTACAGTAACTTCAGCCAATACAGCCAGAAAAGTAACTCCAACCTTACTTTTTCTGCTTATTACACAATTCAGCACACGAAAGTAAAAATTACGTGTTTGGTGAAAAAGCTGGCTGATAAGCTTGATAAGCCGGAAAAGGAGGTCTCCAAACAGGCTCTAAAATTGGACAAAAGAGTGGTGCGGTTTTTTAAGAAAATTGTGATTTTAGAAGTTAATATTGAATTGAACTTTAACCATTCAAATATCATCAAATGTTATACTCCATATGAACATTATTTAATGGGATAAATACAACCAATTTGAATGCCTACAATGATGATAACAATTAAACATAAAATGGGATTGGGAGACGATTTGGGAGGTATCGTGTAATTGATTGATTATTACGAGTATTTGTGAATTGTGAGGTGAAATAGCTAATAATTTCTTCGTCCCTTAAAATTTTGTCATTTTTTCTTTTTGGGACGTTCCAAAAAACTTTGCTATTTTTCCTTTTAATTAAATTAGTTCGTGGTTCTTATTATTTCTTTCTCCTGCACAAACCCCAACCACACAATTTTTTACTTTCGTAGGATAAAATTGGTATCTTATTCGGACAAAAAATAAAACCATTAGATAAGGATACGGACCAATGCATTTTCTTTGGAAAGTGACACTTTTGATATTTTTATCAAGTGTAAATATTTCCAAAGCTAGAGGTCAACGTTATGAGTTTTTGATATTTTTAATATGTGATGAGTTTATTGGATAGAAATATAGAATGACTCTAGAACAAAAATTCATACACAAGATATACTCATTATTTTTCTCACCAGTTACAATTAGTTAGTGTGGTTGTTGCACAAAAAATAAGTTTGCGGGTGAATTTTTGAATATTTTGTCTATCTTTATCGTGTCTTGATCTCAAAAAAAGTTCTCCGATTTGTCTGAGTCAAAACTAGTGAGTCTTGCAAAGTTATATTTTTTAGGTTTTTAAACTATTGATCACAAGTATATTGTCAAATATTTTGCACGGGCAGATCTTTGTTCTTTTTTGAACTAGAGTTGTACTTCCTTTTTTGACACGGTAGTGTTATATTTTAAACAAGTACCGACAAATTATATATGTGACATGACATGTAACGTTGGACATAATCCTAGTTTGAACCTGAAATTATGACCATTTTTAGTATGAAAATAATTAGAATTCTAACTTAAAATCATAAATAGTGCAAGGATAATTCAAATTATATATTTCTTTCATTAAGCCAAATATTATTATTTAGAATTATCATGGGTTGAAAACTGAATCTATAATCCATAGATGTGCATGCTCGAAATTCCAAAATAAACTGATGTCACACTTGACCCCATGTGATCCATTCACACCTAACCCCCTTGAGAAATTTCTAGATCCGGTAATGCTTCTAGTCCGCTGATATTAATCGTCTAGACATATAAAGTATGTATTAATAGTTTGTGTCAACACACAATTACCTATATAAGGACAAGTTTGTTTGTAATCGATCAAGCATGTATATGGAGCGTAAGGCTATATGTAGACGACGAAACAGGTTTGAGTTTCTTTACGATCCCTTATCTCACTTGGTTCCTTTAGTCTCAGGTGGTTGAAAAGAGTTTAGAACTATAAATATGTCATTATTTCTTTTTCTTAATTATCACATCATCACTTCTCCATGTACCAAACTTAATGGTATGGATAAATATTATGTAACTCTAAGATTTTAACTATTATACTACGTAACACTTTGGCCTTTTAGGGAACTCATAATTTCAAGAAAATAAACATGTCCAAGAATATGTATAAACAAAGAACTAGATGATTAAACTTAAATTATTTACATGAATAAAATGTATTATTCGTTATGGAACTTTATTATATAATCGTTTGTGTTCCTGGATGAATTTTTTATCTAATGAAATCAATAACCACTTCGTAATTTAATGAATTTAACCACTTCGTAATTTTTTATCTAAGTATTAAGTACGTACGGAGTAATACGGAGTATTATTTACTCAAAAATCCTCAAGTTTGGTGGAACTCAAAAAAAAGGTCTTACGGGAGTTTTGAAGGGTTTAAGAACACCTGCAAAATTGTTCACCCCAATTTCAAATATTTGCCAAACAATATGAAGGGGTCATACTCCCTAACACAGCCTTAACAAATGTAGGCGCGGACCAGTCCGATAGGTCTAGATTAGGAGGAGCCGCGGAACCAGTTGGTCTGAGTCATGGATTTCTTTAAAATCTCAATTTTTTGAGAACTAGACTCCCATATTCACATCATACTATTCAACAACAACAAAGAAACAGTACATGAAACTAATTAAGGCTCAAAAATGAAACGGTAGAACACACCAAAAGGAGTTTTAAAAGAGTTTGTGGCAATAATATATGTACATTTGAGCTGCACGAAGAAAACACCAAACTTCTTTATGTACATTTGAAGCAATATGGTTCATAATCAAGCAAACAATTGATCCATGATTAACTAGGAGAAGCCCGCTACAATGTTATCAGATACAGGGATAGTTACTAAGGAGGACTGTCATGCTGAGTAAAAAAGGCTTTGATGGCTTCTTCCTTCTCGTCAATGAACTGCAAAAAATTGCAGACTACCTGAGAGAAGCCGGTATTGGATGATGATGATGATGATTCCAACTGCTTCCTTTTATAACGCATATATTGGCGAACCGTCCTGAACAAAAAGATTGAGAGGGCAATGACACTAACGCCAGCACATAAAATATACAGTCCCCAAAAACTACTTAGTTGGCTCTCGTTGGGCTCTGCTGTTCTTCCCCGCTCTGATGGACATATTGGCTTGCAAAACCATTTCTTATAGATCTCATAAAGCTTTTTGCTCTCAGAAAGTTTGAGGATTGCAGTAGACATGTCAACTGCAACTGGAGAATCTTTCTGGAAGACCTACATGTAAACCGTGCAATTTCAATTTAATCTTAAACTGTGACCACATAACAGGTAAAAAGATCAGATGTATTAACCAATGTTAAGTTATCCCACTCCAATACAGTATACTACCTCGGTCCCATAAAATTCTTCCCACTTATCTTTTTGGAATGTCCATAAGGATTCTTCCCACTTCCTTTTAGTGATTTGTGTGGTTAACATTCATTACCCCTTTTTCTAACTCAACCACAATCATACATTTTCACTTTATCCCTACTTTATTAATAAGTGTGTCAAGCCAAAGCGTGAAGAATTTTATGAGACGGAGGAGTAAAATTACAAAAAGAAATAACAATTTTTTTGTATCTAACATGAACTCGTAATAACACAACAATGTAGAAAGAGTGGGAAAAGAAGAAGGGACTAGATACATAAGTAGAAAAGTGATATAAAAAGTCTAAGAGTAAATTGTATCGATAATGAATAGTATAGAAATGGTGAAGAAGAGTAAATTATAAGGGTAAATGAATAGTATAGAAAGGATATTTTTTGTCTTTTGATATGATGGCAATTGCCATATATAAAAAGCGAAACAAGTAATAATAAACTTACTTATTAGGAATACGAGACAATCAAAAATAAACAGAGGGTTATTAATAAATAACCCATCTGATAATGATAAACTTTGACCGGGAAAATGCATTGGCTCAAATGGCTGCAATGCTCAATCATCTATAAAATAGTTAAAGTTTCAAATGAACTATTAGAAAAAATGCTAAAGGTATCATCTTCTTTTATGCCAAAAAGTAATTTATACACTATTTCACACTATTAAGCTGAGTTAGCAAAGCTCAATGTATAATCAGTCTTCCGTAGAAAAACCTAGCCTGCATTCTATGTGAGTGTATCCTAATCTAATCAAATATTAGAAAGTTATAGAGGGCGTACAAAACCCCATTCTTTCTTTGTAAACGGCTGCCCGATGATGCCAAAATCAGTCCGGTTAGCTAGAAACAATTCTACATATGGAAGCTCGTCAACAATAGCAGCAACCCCTCCTCTCCCTGGACCACGCCGTAGTGAAGATTCGTACTCTTCAGGAGAGTGTAGGCAAACGAGTCTTGAAGGAGGGACATTGTAATTATCTCTCAAATAAGCAGGCACGAATGAGCCGACTAGATACCCGATGGGCCATTTGGTTGCAACCAAGCTGTCTATTCCCGTGATTGGTGATGAAAGCTGCTGAACAGTTAAGATTGATGTCAAGCTTGCTGTGTAGCTTGAGGTCACAACCAGTAGTAGAAATAGCCATACCAGCATCACTATCCTCCCAAGGGTGCTAATCGTATTTTCAGCTGAAATTAATAACACTTAGAACATCAAGTTTGCATAACACTTATTCATGCTCCCCAAATATAATCAGAATTTTTAGTCGCAAATGCCAACTTATTACCACAGTATCCTTTTGTAACAATCTCAAAACTCTATAAATGATTCTCAACCATCACTCCAAATAATCTGTTTTTTTAGTCCTGCACCCACCTAATAATTCTACATTCACAAATAATCTTTAATCATAGATTATTCTAGAAAATAATCTCTCAAACTCAACCATTCTCCCAAAAGAAACGGTCACATCACCAACTTCATCCCCTAACTATCTTTTGGGAATGCTGATCAAATACTTGGGATGAAATAGCACCCAAAAAATAGAGAGAGAAAAGCTAAACACTTTCATTTAAAATACAAAAATAAAGCAAAATAAAATACAAAAAAAAATACTTACCATTTGTCTTGAATAGGGTTGAGAAGCTGAACCTGCATAAGCATATTACTCAAAAGTAACTATATTGAAGTATTACCCAGTGGTTAATGCTTTCCCCGGTTTGGATTTCACACGTGGATTCCCAAAAGTGCTTTTAAGGGGTCAAAAATAGTTTTGAATCTCCAAGAGCTATTAGGCTAAAGAGCTCATCCTTTCTGGACGTCAATTTGGAAAAAGCTAATCTAACTTTCAGCTAGACTTCTATGTGGATCTTTTTTCTTAAAAGCACTTCTGTGACTTCAGTAAGAGCTTTTGGCTTTCACAACTTGAAATCCAAGCAAGCACTTCAGTTGTGTAAATAACTTTTAGTAAATGGACTTTTGACAAACTGAAATTCAAAAGGAGGCAAAATGAAGCAAGATACTTGTATCTAGAAGATACATAAGAGTAAAAAGTGATTGTGCAAGAGGGGAGGGGCATACACTTACAATAGCATTGTGATAAGCTGTCTCTTGGGCGGACCCCGGAAGTCATCATTGACACGATGCTCGAGAATCCAAACCACCACTGCTATAACCAGAAATGACAACCCCGTGACAACCCACATTTCTGGTGTAAACGGCTTTAGAAATACCCAAGCACTTGCTTTTGAATCATCAAGCAGACCTACAATCACAAGCCCACTATCCATGTAAGGCTGAGTAAAATCCACAATCCTCGTCCTGCTTGTCACTATAGCAATGTCTCCAACCGCCGCATCAAAGTTCTGCCAAAAACCTCAACAATTACCAACTTATGGTGGTTTAGAATAATTTTTTTCCAAGTATATACCAAAAATACTGCTGAAAATTAAGATTTAGTAGTTCAAGGCCTTATGTATGTTTGCGTTTTTATATTTGGCCAGTGTGGAATTTAACATATCTCGTATTCCTCTAAGCTGGTGAAATTGAAAATTTAAGTGTTACTCGGATCATTTGCTTATTTGAGTTTAATTGGTTCGGATACCACATTACAATTTAAAGTTTCACCAAAATGTTCAATTTCATCAAAAGAGTAGCACAAAACCTTATATGTTAATTTTTATCATTATATTTGACTGGTATAAAATGACTAAACAGATAATACACTATAGGTTTTAAATAAGAGGTTTTTACAAAAATATTACTAAAATAAAACTTATTTACACAAATAGGACTAATAGTTACCACAATGTAGTGTCATGGTAACTTATGTTTAAAAATTGAACATAAATTACTATGATTTTCATTACTACTCTAGTCACTATTCACACTTTTGTAAACCATCTTTATTTTAGTCATATTTATGTAATAATTTCTTTAAATAAGCTCGGGACCATATATTAGAGTTGTATGAGTCTTAACATTAAAACCTGACAATAAGGTCAGACAGATCATATTTTATACAGTGGCTAAATTTCAAGTCTGGGAATGACTTACATCATTGGCGACCATGTTAACAAGGTCATTATAACTTGGATTAGAAAGGCCGTCTCCAAAAGGCACGAATTCGTATTTGATATTGTAAGGAAGTAATCTGCTTGCTTTATTAAAAACATCAATGCAATATCCCTCCATCTCATTCTTGTCATTCAATCTTGCAAATTCTGTGAAGCTGGTCTTCCTTGGAACTCCGATTCTATACGGCTTCTCATTGTCTGCAAGAAGCCAACCACGAGGTGTTGACCTCACGCCGCCAGGCCAGACAACATTTCCAAGCTTATAATTAAACTCCTTTGCAGTTTGGCTCTTATTGTTTGGGATGGGAATTAAAGGAGGTGGTGAAATAGAGAGCCCGGAAAAATTTGACCAATAGCCGACCGTGTGAATACTCCCTTCTGCAATATTGAAAACCTCATATCCGCTCCCGACCAAGCTCTGGAACTCATCAAAATGGACATTTCCTATCAATCCCTTGAAGTTTGTTTGAGTTAAAATCTTGAGAAGATCTTCTCCTTCTCTGAACACTTTAAATCTCTCAATTTGGGTATTACCTTTGCTAAAGGAAAAGGTAAGGTTCTTTCCCTCTCGAAGAAGAGCATCGATTCCGAGTGCTATGACCCACATACTATCATAAGCATACACTGCATGCGTGATCAACTCAGAATTCACAAAATTCTTGTTTACCAAATTTCTCCACCGAAACATGAAAGCGTCTTTCTTTCTTGTTTTAGGAATATAAGGACGCAGCCCTACTACTCCTTCAAGAAATCCTAAAGATGTTTGGTTTTGAAGGGATGACTCTAGACTAGAAGAAAGCCAATCTGTTGCAAACCAAACATAGTTACTTCTCATCATATCCAACTTCTGTGCAACTTTAAAGAATCTCAACATTGAATCGGGATAGATGTGGACAACGTAAACACGTGGGCCCAATTTTTTTGAATTGTTTAGTGCTGTTGTTAGCTCACTTGAATCAAAGTTGGTGGATAATGGGAACTTAAAGTGGATATATGACATTCCCCTAGCAAGTTGATCTCCTAAATAAGATATCCCGTTACGTCCATATTCATCATCCACATATATGGCCATGACTTCCCTCCATCGATGAAACCGAATGAGGTCGGCCAAAGCAGACATTTGTAGGGAATCGCTTTGTGCCATCCGAATGAAGAAGGGAGATTGGGATGGCAATAGAGTTGGGTCAGTGGCTGAAAATGAGATGAGAGGGACTGAAAGACCAGTGGCTATGAAAGATATCATGTGTGTTATTGCTGAGGATTCTGGTCCTATTATTGCCACCGCTTGGTTTTCAATAACCTGAAACACTGGATGAGTAATTTAGAATCAGAATTAAATTAACTTGCTTACTTGCTGTACTTAAAGAATTTGATTTTGTTTCTTTTGAGAGATCTCCAACATATAGTATTCACTGGAAACTAGAAATAGTTCTGAAGTAACATAGGCACTATAGGAGCCGTATTAAAGCTACAAATCCTCTAATAGATTGACATGCGATATTAAGATTTAAGATTCCATCTTAAAAGCTAAACGTAATGGTAGAAGTAACTCGATGCATTTATATCATGGTTCGCATGATTACGCATTGGCTTATATATTAGATTGTCAGTATGCACCATTGTTATAAATGTGTAGATTGATTAACATGTGGTTCTATGAAATGGGATGTTTTAAGTGATCTTCTGAAATATAATTATAATAATAACATAAACTTACATAAGGTTATTTACGTTCGAACTTTTATGATGAAACCTCAAATTCCTTGTTTTGAGGGGTTAATCAAGTGAGTGAATTCATGCAGTTCTAGTGAAACTTTCTCAATTTTAGGCAGACCATTTCCAGGGTAATTCAATTCCAACTGATACCATAGATTGGGGTGAAATTATGCGCAAAACTAGAACCTAGGGATATGAATGTCTGCAAAATGGTCCATATTGGCTATCTTCCTTCACCAACTTTATTTATCTATTAAAAAATAATACTCTGTAATAAAAATAATATTTTTATTAAAAAAAACGGGGAAAATGAGAGTTACCTCCTAAGGTGGCCAAAAAAGCACTGGAATTAGCATCCACCATGGTGATGTTGAGCTTAGTGGAATGGAGAATGGTGGGATCTTCATTTATATCAGAGAGGGCAATCTCTAGGGCAGCCTTTGCTGCCCTGCCAATGACTGAATTGAAGGTGAAAACTGCCCCAACATTCACAACAGTCTCAGCCGGCGGCGGCGGCGGGTTCTCTTCGCCCCCGCACTTTACGGTCAAAATCAGGAACCCCAAAACCAATAAAGCAAAAGCTTTGCCCACCACCACCACAAACTTCATTCTTTTTATTATAGTTTTACTTCAAAATACATGTAAAATAGCAGAGAGCTCCAACTCGCATGATCCTCTAAAAGAAAGCATCTGTTTTCCTGCTAATTGTTTTGAAGAAGTATTCATACAACCAATCTGGTAATTCTGGGGAGGGGGGAAACATGGGAAAGCACGATCCAGAGAAAATCAGGGAAAGAAATACTGAACAGTGAGAGTGTGAGAATCTGATACTGGACTGAAAAAGGTAAAATGATATAATAGAATGAAGAAAATGGCCGTTAATCAGCTTTGAACCACTGGCCAACTTGATACCGGTCCTAGACACATTTTTCACTTACAACTTGCTTATTTGCATTGCCAACTGTAAAAGGGGAATTCTATTTATGCCCAAACAATCAGTAGTGTTGGGTTATATCACGTAGGGGCTGATAATCGAGTACTTGGATTACTTATCGTGTAAGTTCACTTTCCGAATCGATATTTCTCCCCTATGCGTGGGTTACAAAAAATTCAATTTAGGATAATCCTTAAGGACACTCTAGAACTTATGCACAAGTACTAGACCCAAACTAGTCGAGTATATAGATTGTTATCTTAATTTGAATGCCAAAGTAATGAAGATAAGTTGGATATGTTTCCTCTTTCTACTCTGGACAAGGTTGTTAAAATCGTATTTTTGAATTGAATCGGTAGATGTTTTTGAAAATCGAATCGTAAAATCGAATCGCAAATCGTAAGATTTTATCAAACATATTTTAATAATTATAAAATAAATAAATATTAAAATTAAGTTGTAAGTTAATGGTATTATGTCATTTTATTACATACCACTATACCTAAAAGGTCAAAAACAAGATTTATAAACTATTTTTATATTGTAAATAGAGTGAATAATAACATTAAACATATGTAAAACATAAAAATAATTAAATAACACAAGAATCCATTACTTTTTTAAATATACTATTGATGTTATTATTATTGAAATTTTGTTTCAATTTGTAGTAGTTAATTTCAATAAATTTGAACCATTTTCACTAAAAAAAACTTATTCCGATTTTGCTACGATTTTGATACGATTTTATACGATTCTACACGATTTTTGTACGATTTTGTTACGATTTTGTACGATTTTATGATTTTACGATTTTACCTGCGATTTGAATCGATTTATTATTGTAGAATCGTAAAATCGTACGATTTTACGATTTAAATCTAGATTTTAACAACCTTGACTCTGGACGAAATATGGTGATATATATTCATATTAACCGTCCTAGGCAGTTGCAACACGTTTGAGAAACCGCAGCAGTTTTTGGGAAACTGCCCAACCGTTCTAGAACTCGGTCTAGAACCACATAACTGGTCTACTGAAAGTTATACCTCGAGTTCTACCTCAAGTTCCACTAACGTAGACACTTTGGAATTAAACTAGTTCTTATATATAAGTGTGCACTCCACACCTACTAACTTGTTTTAGATCATAGTTCTAATTCTAATTGGCACTCATGTCATTTCCAATTACATAAAACGGCCGGTGACACTAAAATCACCAACAATCCTCCCCCATTTTAGTGTAACCCATGAAATGACATAACAAAGCTTACAAACCAAAACTTGCACATAAATGGAAATGTCGATACGATTGAATTTCCATCTTAGTATTTTACACATTCAAAATATTCGAGAATCGGGGTGTTCTACGGATTGAACCCTTCAACCCATTTGAATATCTCAAGATAAAATACACACAAGTTTCTATACTCAACCAGAATACAAACTTGACACAATTATAAAGCTGTGTGTCCTAATCCCATTCATGACCGTATAAAAGCCAAGTCCCAAACTTTTTGAAGCGTGGCTACACTTCACGATCATATAGGTAATTCCTTTACTCGTGTACTTGCTTACACTTTATCAAAGGAATTATTAAGAAATAAATTCAGCCTTCGTACTACAGGTCCGAACACACACACCTTGGGATGATTTTCATTGTGTGTTCCAATCCATTAAGTGTGAGCTTTCCGCATTGAATTCAGCCTCTAACGTTGTATTAGAGGGGAATTGGGTGTCTCACCATTAAGGATTAAATGGACTTTAAACTCATCCCTATAACAGACTTGTGCACTAAGTCCCGGGCCAAACTTTTGGTCAAGTAGTCCGCCAAGTTATGTTGCGATCTTACAAATTCCACCGAAATTACACCATTCATGATTAGTTCCCTAATCATACTATGTCTAACACCCAAGTGTCTAGACTTGCCATTATAAACATGACTATATGACTTAGCCAAAGTGGCAGCACTATCACAATGGATAGAAATAGGTGCAATCGGCTTCCTCCACAATGGAATCTCAAAAATTAAATTTCTTAACCACTCCGCCTATTTACCGGCAGTAGCCAACACAACAAACTCATATTCCATTGTTGAACTTGTGATGCCTAAGTTCGCTTGGATGCCCAAGAAATGGCACCTCCCCCAAGCAAGAATACCCAACCACTTGTAGAAGAATGATCCTCTACATTGGATATCCAACTAGCATCCGAATATCCATCTAACACCGAAGGATACTCAAAGTAACACAATCTGATGTATAATCAGATTGTGTGTAGCCGCCAAAGAAATTAACAACCTAATGGTTGTAATTCGAGCAACTGGTGCCTACGTGTCAAAATAGTCAATTCGGGTTTTTGTCTAAAACCTTGAATGACTAACCGAGCCTTAAACCTGTCAACAGTTCCATCCACTTTCATCTTCCTTTTGAAGATCCATTTGCAACCTAAGGGTTAAGAACCCGGTGGCAAATCCGACAACACCCAAGTGTTGTTCTCCATAATTGATGACATTTCATCATCAATTGCTTCCTTCCAAAAGGCAACATCTCGGGACTCCATTGCCTCTTTAAAGGTCTTTGGATCATCCTCAACTTGGTAACAATAAGAATATTGTACCTCTACTTCATTCCTTGAACCTTCCACAAAATACAAGTGAAAATCGGGACCAAAGTCTTTCACGATGCGGCCTCGTTTGCTTTTCCTTATTTGTGGTGCTTCGAGATTCAAAACACCATCCAAACATTCTGGAACTTGCACCTCACTAGTGCCTGGAACTAGGTCCTTTGGTCTTTGAATTGATGAAAATCTCATCTCATCAAAGATCACATCCCGAGACTCAATCACGATGTTAACCACTGCCGCATCGTTAGGTTCTATTACATAAAACCTATAAGCCTTGGAATTTTCAGCATACCCTATGAATATGCAATCAATTCCCCTTTCCCCAAAAGTTTTCCTTTTGGGCTCGGGAAATTTTACAACCGCCCTACAACCCCAATCCCGAAAATATTTCAAATTTGGCGCCTTGTTGTACCAAAGCTCATATGGGGTTGTCTTGTTCCGTTTGTTTGGAACCCTATTTAGAACATAGCAGGCCGTGAGTATGGCCTCTCCCCAAAATCCTTCAATCAAACCTGAGTAGGAAAGCATGGAATTAACCATTTCCTTTAACACTCGATTTTTCCATTCAGCCACACCATTTTGTTGTGGTGTATACGGAGCCGTGGTCTCATGAATGATTCCAACAGATTGAAAATAATGGGAATCCATATATTTTCCTCCCTGATCAGTCCTAAGACATTTAATTGGATTACCCAATTGCAATTCAACCTCGGTTTTATACACTTTAAATTTCTCTAAAGCTTCATTCTTAGTGTGTAATAAATACACATAACAAAACCGAGTTGAATCATCAATAAAAGTAACAACATACTTTTTATTGCCAAGGGAAGGAGTTGAATGAAAGTCACATAGATCACTATGTACAAGATCCAAAATAGCCGAATTCCTTTCAACATTAGGAAACGGTTGTTTTGTGATCTTAGTAAGCATGCAAGTCATACACTTATCATTATTAATATCAAAAGCAGGAATTAAACCATGTTTAGACATTTCATGCATTTTTCTAAAATTAACGTGAGCTAGTCTAGCATACCAAATCATACAATCATTCATGGAAGATGCCACAAAAACAGAATTATCACTAGGAATTAATTCATTCACAACATTTAAACGAAACATGTGATTTGATAAATATCCAAAACCAACAAACACACCACACTTGGACAGAATATATTTATCGGATTCAATCACTTGTTTGAACCCTAAATTATTCAATATACTTCCCGAAACAAGATTCTTTCGAACCTTCGGTACATACAAAACATCAAACAGCGTAATTGTTTTTCTAGAAGTAAATTCTAAAACAACTACACCCTTTCCTAAGATTGGCTCCATTGACTCGTCTCCCATGCGTAAGAAGGAACCGACCTCCACTGGTTCTAGGTCTTCAAACCATCCTTTATCCTTACACACATGGCTCGTAGCCCCCGAGTCAATCCACCATGCACAGTCATCATCTTGTACATAAAAAGATTTTGGAACGAGTGATACATAATTCTGGACAGAATTATCAAAGTTAGTCATCAGGAACTGACCTCCTTTCCGTGGAACCAGGTCCTTAGACCATTCCTGTCCACTTCCACTCGTTCCAGTGCCATCCTTGTTCAGTTTCACTCGAATCAGGTCCAGACCATTCAGTTTCAATTCGATTGTTGGGGTATATCACGTAGGGGGTGATAATCGAGTACTTGGATTGCTTAAGGATCGTGTAAGTTCACTTTCCGAATTGATATTTCTCCCCTATGCCTGGGTTACAAGAAATTCAATCTAGGATAATCCTTAAGGACACTCTAGAACTTAGGCACAAGAACTAGAGCCAAACTAGTCGAGTATATGGATTGTTATCTTAATTTGAATGCCAAAGTAATGAAGATAAGTTGGATATGTTTCCTCTTTCTCCTCTGTACGAAATATGGTGATATATATCCATATTAACCGTCCTAGGCAGTTGCAACATGTTTGAGAAACCGCAGCAGTTTTTGGGAAACTGCCCAACCGTTCTAGTACTCGGTCTAGAACCACAGAGCTGGTCTACTGAAAGTTATACCCTCGAGTTCTACCTTGAGTTCCACTAACGTAGACACTTTGGAATTAAACTAGTTCTTATATACAAGTGTGCACTCCACACCTACTAACTTGTTTTAGATCATAGTTCGAATTCTCATTGGCACTCATGTCATTTCCAATTACACAAAACGGTCGGTGACACTAAAATCACCAACAAGCAACAAACGACACATCCAAAAACCTTCCACGTGCTATGTAACTAGCCATATATGCAACAACACTCATCCTACAAACACTGTGTTAGTAACCAATAGAGTTTAATGCACCAAACCCCCTCGTGAT